CCAGGGCAATGAGTCACCACCTGCTTGCACTGACTCACTGCTGTAGGTTCTGGCTCTGAAGCATGGGAGACACTTAATGGAAAGATGGATCTTGCTTGGTGCTTGGCATAAACATTTGTAGCCTGATGGGAAAGATAAGACACAGGTATTTTTTTTTCATGGTGTACAATACTACCTGCATAGCAAAATAAATGTAGTGCCTGAAAGGCTTTGCTTGTAGAGGATGATGGACTTTTGGGTGAGATTAATGGAGTGAATTTCTGTCCTGAAAAAGGGAATTGATGACCTCCCAGATTACAGTCCTGCCAAGAGTGTTGCTACTGCTGCTTTCCTCTGGAGTTTCATTTTCACTTTTGGCAGCAGAAATGGTTGCTCTGTCTACTGTGTCAGCTGCAAATACTAAAGCATATAGAGGAGCTTGAAGTGAGTAATGTTGTCCTACTACCTTCATGGAGTAAAATTTAAAAATCTGCCTCTTGAGTCTAAAAAGTGTTCATTACCTTGTACCTATATTTCATTAGTTTAATCACTGTTCATTATAATGGAATCTGTGTTTAAACTAGCAAATTACATCAATTATATCAATCCCAAGCTAAGACTACAGTGGCTGGGCACATGACATGTGTTTGGCTGTGCAGCAGAGCCAGATCTAGAACACTGAGTGCAGTTTGCCGTTCAACATCATAGGAAATCCAGATTCAAACCACTCATGACCACTATTTGCAGGATGTCAGAACATCAGCCTTCTGGATTCTGTATATTTCCTTTCTTGATGTCTTTCTCAATTTTGAAATAAATTATTCTTTTGAAGATGTGCCTGTATTAATAGAACCTGTGATAAGTTTGTGTGCTTAGGGAGCTGTAGGTAGAAACTTAACCTATTAACCTTGACACTGCCCTTAGTGCAGTGTGCTTTAGGGATGTAAATATGTGTCTCCTTCTGTTATTGCTTGTCATTTGCTGTCTGCAAAACAGATCCAAGTACTTGGGGATTGCTTTAAGATGGCAGTATCATATGGCACATGTAGGGTCCCTATTCTGGGGACCATGTAGTAATCACAGAATGGCCTGGGTTGGAAGGGACCCTAAAGATCATCCCATCCCAGCCCACTGCCATGGGCAGGGGCACCTTTCACTATCCCAGCTTGCTCAGAGCCCTGTCTGGACTTGGACACTGCCAGGGATCCAGGGGCAGTCACAGCTTCTCTGGGCAACCTGTGCCAGGGCCTCACCACCCTGACAGGGAACAATTTATTCCTCATACCCAATCTAAACCTTCTCTGTCAGTGTGAAGCCATTGCCCCTTGTCCTGTCCCTTGTCAAGCATCTCTCTCCATCTTTCCTGTGGGCTCCCTTCAGGCACTGGAAGGCCACAATGAGGTCATCCCAAAGCCTTCTTCTACCCAGGGTGAACACTCCCACTTCCCTCAGCCTTTCCTCATAGCAGAGCTGCTCCATCCCTCTGATCCCCTTGGAGGCAGAGCAGAACCACCTTTCTCCTGCTGCCCATTAAGTAGCTGAACGTGAAATGGGGTGCAGAGGTTCCGTGCTTTTTCCAGCCCTTTAATTCCTCTTTTCTGAAGAGGAAACTACAGAACACAGCACTATTTGTGCTATTTTAGGGCCTGTCTGGATGGTTTTCTCTACCATTCCCATCAATACAAGGTTTTGTTAGAAGTATTTAAAAAAAAAAATAAGTCTAATATGTTCTAGTTGCAGTTAAAGCAAAATTTTCTTTCAGAAATTTTAGGGGGATTCACTGCTGAACTGGTCACTGAACCTTCCATGGAGACATTGCCAAGTTCTGGGTGTGATTCAATATAATATTCAGCTGGAGAAACACACTGTCATTTGAGGAATGCTGTGCATTGCTGATACCTGGCCATTACCTGAATGCAACTCTAACTTAATTTTTAAAATAATAAGGTTGCATGAATGAGGCTGGACTGAGTTCTGCCAGGTGTTTTTTGTGTCCAGAAGCTTGTGGACAAACACACAGGGCAAGAAGCAGCATGTAGGTGTTGAACTGTTCCTCATCAACAGCCCAAGCAAGCTGCTTTCTCCTTGTCAGTGGTGGCTGCACGTCAAAACCAGCAGTTTGCTACAGGGATGCCTGTGTTCTGAAATACTCTGTCATTAGTTCTAAATTAACTCGTTCACCCTTTCATTTGTGAATTAATCCCCTCTAATGCAGGCAAACATCACAGTTGTGGTTGTCTGGGTATTGTTAATCTGCATCATGCACAGGCTGAGCACTAGACTTGGGTAATGATCTCGGAAGAGAACAGCTTTGTTTTAGAGCAGTCCTGAGCTCCAGGTCTGGTTGCTGAACTGTGCAAGTATTACTTCTACAAAACACTTTCTTTTATGTGGATCTTGAGTGCCGAGTTCATTATTTAGGGCTGTGTGTTGATTTGGAACCCTAAGCTAAGATGAAAATAGTTCTTGGCAAGTCTATGCTTAATTCTTTAATTCACTTTTGGTCAAGGTTGTTAGAGTTTTATCCTCCTTCCCCCTCTTCTTTCTTTTTCTTTTTTTTTTTTTTTTTTTTTTTTTGCGTCTCCTGTTACATTTCTTTTAAGTAATGAATTTAATAGCAGAGTAAATAGAAACTGCACTCTCCTCACTCCCCTAGTGGTACCTACTCTAGTTTGCAATTCCAGGACTTTAAACCTGATTGTTTCTGACATAACATGAACATTAGTAGCACAACCATGATTACAAGCTGGAAATTTCTAAGATTAACAAAACAGAGCAGTGCAGCGCATTCTTTGTCCTGGGGTGTGTTTTTACTAAATTCTTCTTCTCCAGGATTTATTGTCCATATGCTATGGCAAACAGTACTAGGTTTATTTTTCCTGTAACAATACCCATGCCTACTACAAATTATACATCTTCATGGATCAATTAGCAATATTGTGAGTTAGCAAAAATCTCTCACTTTACACCATATACCTTTATAAACTTGATTTTGAAGAACTTTATTAGAATAAGCCTTAAATCTCTTTCTGAGAGTGTTAGCCAAGCATGTTATGCTGATAGGTTTGGGGTTTTTTTCCCACTTTTTCCCACTTTTTTTTCCCCAGACCCTACCTAGAGTTACTTATTTATATGGCATTTGAGGTGGTGGATTCCTGTTCTCATGCCGCCTGCCTTGTTTTCCTGACTTCCATCAGCCAAATCTTTCAGTCCTTACTCCTAACTTGGAAGTGAACATGGATATTTTGATTTCTGACTGGGACAGCAATCCCCCTGGGATGAGCCATGAGCCAAAACCTCCTGTTCTCCAGGTGGTGCCTCTGCAGAGAGTTTTTGTTCTTATTGGTTGTTTGGGAGTTAATTGTGAGAAAGTGAGAGCAGAGGAACATTTCCAATGCAGTGGTTGTAGCTTGGGAAGCTCTTTAGAAGGCAGTGCTTTATTTTAGAGGGGTGTATGGTGTGTTAAACACCACAGTGCAGCTTGTTTCCTACAAATCTGAAGTGAAGACTCCATGTGAGTGTTGTGACTGGAGGTCAGGGGTAGATTTCCAGCCTGAGATAAGGATATTTTTGTCCTTTTGAGAAAAGTGTGATAATTGGGAACGTAGTATAACATAAGAGAACACATCAAATGCATTACCGCTGATAATGACTCCTCCCCTCTGTAGTTGCATATATGACAGGTATTTCAGGCTTTTATGTGTTGAAATAAATTATTTGAATGATCATTTCTCATGAAAATTAATGTAGGTAATGCATTAAAGTAGCTAATGACGTTTTTAAGGTTAATGGCAATTGTGGAGCTGTTCAGAAATTCATTAGCATGAAATGCTTTAAAAGCAGTTGATCTTTCCCATCTTTTTGTAAATAATGTTGTGGCTTTTAAGCGAGGTTACTTTGACAGGGGAAACTCTTTTGGAGAGGGAGCATGCTGTATTTCAGAGTAGTGCGAGTGCTTAGAAAAATATCCCATAAGTGGTGTTGGAGGAGGAAGACTGGTGAACTGAATTTAAGTGTGTTTGATAAGAACCCAAATGAAGCCATGAACATAAGTTGTATTGTCAATGGAGTGATTAGAAAAACTCAGCATTTACAGAAAGACTCAAGCTTCTTCCTGAAGGCTGGGATCCCGTGGGCATGTGGGAGCCGCTGTTACAGATGATGACATTGGGCAGGGAGCCCGATTGCTCATTCACAGTTCAGGCAGCTTCTGCTGCTCTTGTCCCTGTGCTCTCCTCAGTGAAGGTTTGTCACATAAGCAGCACTGCCATGGTCATCACAGGCTATGCCCCAGCTTGGATCAGTGTGTGAATGAACTGGAGGGCATGAACAGGGGAGCTGAGGCTCTGTCAGTCATTAACAGCTGCCTCTGATTGATGAAAGTGTAACAGCAAACACACTGCCTCCACATTTGATATTTGATATTTCTGGGACTCCTGTTCTTGTTTTCTTGGCCTGGAGGTTCTGATATTTACGTCGTGGTTACCAACAGTGCCGGGTCACTTGCTTTATTGTTCCCTGTGAGGATGGTGAGGCCCTGGCTCAGGTTGTCCAGAGAAGCTGTGGCTGCCCCTGGGTCACTGGCAATGTCCAAGGCCAGGATGGATGGGGCTCTGAGCAAGCTGGGATAGTGGAAGGTGTCCCTGCCATGGCAGGGGGATGGAACTGGCTGATCTTTAGATCCATTCCAACCCAAACCACATGCGATTCCATGAATCCCAGTCCGTCCCAGCCTGCCGGCAGCCCGGGATTGCGCAGTTCCGCGGTTCTCGCGGTGTCAATCCTTCACTGCTGCCGCTCCCACCCTGCGCGGGGAGGGTTTAGAGGTGAACTCGGTGATGTGCGGGCAGCGTGTGCTGCGACAGAGGCAGATGCGCTGCAACAGTCTGTGGGGGACGGGAGCGTCCTGTCCTGCCGTGTCCCCCTGTCCCGGTGCTGTCCCACCGCGTCCCGGTGCCGTCCCTCACGGGCGGAGCAGTAGCGCCCCCCCGCGGCCGCGCTGACGCTGTGCTCCCTTGCAGGGCGCACCGGGCGCTACACGCTGATCGAGAAGTGGCGGGACACGGAGCGGCACCTGGCGCCGCACGAGAACCCCATCGTGTCCCTCAACAAGTGGGGACAGTACGCCAGCGACGTGCAGCTGATCCTGCGGCGCACCGGACCCTCCCTGAGCGAGCGGCCCACGTCAGACGGCGTGGCGCGGATCCCTGAGAGGACTCTGTACCGGCAGAGCTTGCCGCCCCTGGCCAAGCTGAGGCAGCCCGGGGACAAGGCCATGAAGAGGAGGGAGCCGAAAAGGAAATCCCTCACCTTCACCGGTGGCGCCAAGGGGCTAATGGACATCTTCGGGAAGAGCAAGGAATCAGAGTTCAAGCAAAAGGTGCTCAACAACTGTAAAACAACAGTGGACGAGTTGAAGAAACTGATCCACCTCCAGACAGAGAAGCTTCAGTGCATCGAGAAGCAGCTGGAGTCCAACGAAGCTGAGATCCGCTACTGGGAGCAAAAGTATAATGCCAGCCTGGAAGAAGAAATCCTCAAACTGGAGCAGAAGATTAAACGGAACGAAGTGGAGATTGAGGAGGAAGAGTTCTGGGAAAACGAGCTGCAGATTGAACAAGAGAATGAAAAGCAGCTGATGGAGCAGCTGCAGGAGATGAGGCAGAGGATCCTGGAGTGTGAGAATAAGCTCAAGGACTATGTGTCTCAGATCCACAACATGGAGAGTGGCCTTGAAGCAGAGAAGCTGCAGCGAGAAGTTCAAGAGTCCCAGGTGAATGAAGAAGAGGTCAAGGAAAAGATCGAGAAGGTGAAGGGAGAAATTGATATTCAAGGCCAGCAGAGTCTGAGATTGGAAAATGGCATTAAAGCAGTAGAAAGGTCTTTGGGCCAAGCTACCAAGCGATTACAGGTAAGACTGTAATTTTATCCATAGCTAGAGAAAGTCAAAGACTGACTAATTTCTCTTACACAAATCTGAAGCCTATGAAAGACAACACAAAATAAGTTTCCAAAGTGAATCGGGGTAAAAGGCAAAATGTGTTGCTTTCATTTTCAAATCACATTTCAGCTTGTGGGGATTTTTTGGAGAGCAGACAGTTTTTATTTCACCTGTGTTTAACTTGGTCAAACTGTCTGAGAAGAAAAGCAGTAATTTGCACCATCACAGCCTTTTCTGAGGATAAACTTCTGATCTTTGCTAGGTTTGTCTGCCACCAAAAGACATGAATTACAAAGAACAGTCCAAAAGCAGCACCTGGAAAGGTACAGAGCTAAAGTAAAGTACCTGCAACGTTACAGGGCTTTGGTTTTAAAGAACAGCATCCCTCTTTTCCTGGCTGACTGGCTGGTGTTCAGGATTTTATTTTCTCTATGTCTCAGGCATTTCTGGCACATGTGTCAAAAGAGAATCCAGTCCCTGTTTCCTTGCTAAAGTTAATGATATCACCTGGAACTTGATAGAACATGAAAGAATAAAGGAACTCCACTGCTAGCTGGATGAGGTGGAGGAAGTATTGGAGCTCCTGGGATTGTGCCATGCAAGGTAGTCCTAAGGCACCACACATCAGTTGGAGTTGCGGTTCTTGCTGATTCCCAGGATTCACTGTTAGTATATTCACAGTCAGTATTGCAGCAGCAATAAGGTGATTCCACTGTGAATATGTAAAGGGATTTCATATCCTTACTTCTGCCTTAGAACGATGTCAGTATGAGCTAGGTTTTCCTAGATGATGGAGGGGGGGGGGAAGGGAAGTAATCTTTTCATGGGTGAAAACTGTAAGCAGTTTGGCCATGATTATCTATGCTAAGTTTCTAGACATGCTACACATAAGGATTTGCACTGATGGAAAGCTTCAAGTCCTCTTTATGTGTTTTATCTATCCTCAGTCACATTCACTGAGGCTATGCTGGAGTTCAAAATATTTCTGGCTTTGTGGTTTGTTCAGGGGGGGGGGGGGGGGGGGGGGGGGAAGGGAAGTAATCTTTTCATGGGTGAAAACTGTAAGCAGTTTGGCCATGATTATCTATGCTAAGTTTCTAGACATGCTACACATAAGGATTTGCACTGATGGAAAGCTTCAAGTCCTCTTTATGTGTTTTATCTATCCTCAGTCACATTCACTGAGGCTATGCTGGAGTTCAAAATATTTCTGGCTTGGTTCTTTTCATAGTCTGTTTTCTTGGGAAAGTTCCCATTCAATTCAGGTCTTCCAGTCTTGTTCTAAACCTAAAGGTGCACAAATCTGGAAGTCCACAAGAAAATAAACTGAGCTCTGCATTATGGAGCTTTGAGGGGGAGGAAACAGACAAATATTTTATTGCATACCTGAAGTTAAAGATTAAAGCAGCTCAGCCTCTGTGTGTGGGAATAATAATAGTCCAAGACTGTTATAATCGATCAGAGCTGTAAGTTTTGCATGACAGAAGTACAGAAAAAGATCCTAAATGATCATGTGTGCTTTGAAGGAGTGGGGAACCAGCCAGGCTTGGGCTTCATTACACAGAACCCTTGCAGAGTGAGAAGGTTCTGGCCAAAAAAGTTTAAATAGAAAATGCAAAGAACAAGAAGAAAAAATATTTTTACTCCATTTAAGATCAGAATAATTAAATGAGCTGTCCAAGCCATGCTGGACACTTCAGGAAGAAGTAAGACTTGGTGCCAGACTGCTGCTCAGTTGATTATTTTTTCAGCATTCACACTATGGCACTATGGCACTGCTGACGTGCCAAAGTTTTTCTCAGGTGCTATGAGAAACATCTACTAGTCATCCAAGAAGAATATAAAAATAAAATACATTAAGAAAAACCCAATTAGGGTCATGGGTTGGACTTAATGATCTTAGAGGTCTTTTCCAACCTAATAGATTCCGTAAGCGCTAGCAAGTGTTGACTGGCTTTTTAAATTAAAAGATGAAAATACCTTTCAACTAATCAATTTGAGCTTTAAAATTTGGAGTCTTTCTCATTAAGAGGAGAAGCATTAGTTGCCCAGCTGTACCTGTGGTCATGAAATGCTGCTTTATTTGCTCAGCAGATGTTTTCTGTTTCCTGGCAGGACAGGGAACAAGAACTGGAGCAACTGACCAAGGAGCTGCGCCAGGTGAACCTGCAGCAGTTCATCCAGCAAACGGGAACCAAGGTGACGGTGCTGCCAGCAGACCCTGTGGAGGTGGAGGCCCCACATGTGGAGCTTGAGAGAGGTGCAGCCCTCGGAATGCTTTGGGAGAGAGGGAAGGAGGGAGAAGGGGCGGGCAGTGCCTTTACTGCCAGCATTAACTTTAATGATGGCAGTGCTACGTGAAGTGAATGCTCCCTTAGTGAAGACATTAGCAAAACACTACAAGAGTGAGAACGCATTGTTGAGTACTTCTTTTCATTCCAAGGGTTTAGCAGGCTCTAAATAAAGAGCAGTATGTGGAGAACTTCTCTCCCACTGTGCCCGGGCATGCGTTTGTCCCATCAGCAATGCATTGCATTAAGGCTGCAGCTTTCAAGAGTGGCCACCATGGCTGGCTGCCAGCATGGAACGTGATCATACATCTGACATTGCTGTTCGTGTGGGTTCTTCTTCTTTTGGTGGGGGTGTTGTCAAAGCAGAAAAAGGAATGTGTCTTGATCCAAGAAACCCCAGACAGCAGCCGCACGGAAATAGGAGCTGATCCACCTGGGCTGCCAGCCATGCAGAAGTCCTGCACAGATGGCTATTATGGCAGGTGCGAATTGACTTTGCCCCCAGTGAGGTCAGCACAGCCTGCATGTGTCCACATCTGGATTCAGAATTTCCTGGGCAGAACCATGGGAGCGTTTTGAATGTGTATCAGAGCTGCAGCACCAGCATAGTCATGTGCTTTTTCCAGCACTCTCCTTCCAAGGGGCTCTTTGTCTCGGCATTCTCCTGTGCTGGTCTGTCCCTCTGCTCAGAAAACTTTATAACCAAAAGACACTGTGAGGGCAAGGGGGTGGGGAGAGAAGAAAAGACAACAAGGCCTTCAAATGCAGCGCTTGTAGGAACTTTTAAATGGGAAGGAAGCTGAAGCTTTGCGTCATATTACATGTTCAAGCTCTTTCTGCACATTACCCTATCAGTGTGTGTGTCTGTGTACATGTTTCTCGTGGGAGGGTAATTCTTTTGTGTGGGCTTCGTTCTGTTATGAAGTGAGTAGGAAGTGTGCACCTTAGATCTCCTCACTTCCTAGCCAAGCACTTCAGTAGTTTGTTACATGTGGAATTAGTTTTTCTGTATTGCATTAAGCAGGATGAGGAGGAGAGGTGCACCCCTGCTGATGACTTTTCTAATTGCCCTTTTTCTCATGCAGAGCCAGCCTTTCAGTCTGGGTCACTGAAGCGCCCTGGCTCATCGAGGCAACTCCCCAGTAACCTTCGGATCCTACAGAACCCCTTGTCATCTGGTTTTAACCCAGAGGGCATATATGTATGACAGTATGTACCTCTTCTTGAGAGGACCTAGCAAGGTACCCTGGACAAGATACACTTTATTTTAATCAGCCAATGATAAATGGAAGAAGTTCGTCTTGTTTTGTTTTTTTGTTACTCCACCATATTATTTTTTATTCTTCCTCCAACACCACTTGGAGCCATACCCTGTGCACTGATGCTAAATAGAGAGGAACGGTCTCGATTCATAACTGGCAAGGATGACCTTGCTGTCAACACAGCTTGAGTGCAAAAACCTTCATTGTTTTTGCCACTTCAGAAGTATTTGGGAAAGTATTGTTCCTTGTATAGTCATAAATGGAAGACTGAGGGTGAAGGAAACCGTGTATGCAACTTATCTGAGGTTTAATTTATTCCCTTTAATCAATGGACCTGTGAATGTTCACCTTTTATATTTTTATTTTTAACTTGTGAATTATCACATATGGCTGTGTGTCAGTCTGATGAGGTGACTTTAATTTGTGTGTACCAACATCCCCCATCTGATCAAGTACAACAACCTGCAATGCAGAGTTCTGAGGGATGCTGAACCATTGCAGTGGTTTCTCACCACTAACTGTTCATTTCTGTCATGGGTCATCATATGTCACGTTCCATCCATTGCTACCTTTTACGGCTTGAAAAGTGAGCTTGTGGGATTTACTTGCTGTTGTGTCTGCCTTGAATGAAGCACCTAGTGTTCAAAAGATTTATGGATTTTAAACCTTGGCTTGGTAAAAATATTTCCAGCATATGGTTGAGGATGCACTAGTTAGACGATATTTTATTATATAGAATGTATATTTTAAATATTTTGCCACATTGTATATGCCTTTTGAGAAAAGAACAATATAAGAAGTTGTCTTCATATATCTTACCAAAAGAGAGTAGGAGGCTTTCACTGTGTGTAATTCTGTACTTCATTTTTTCCACTAGCCATTACAGTGTTCTTGTTTTGTTACAAATCTTGCTGTTGGAGGGGAAAAAAGACACAACACAAATGAGTATCCACTTCCAACCTTCCAGAATCCTCTCAAGTTTTGTGAAGGGAATAAATCTGGCAGAGTCCCAAGAAGTCAATAGCAGAGTTCTATTGACAGGGGTGAGGCCAGGATTTCATTCAGCTCCCTGGTGGAGACATTTGGTCCCTTTGAAAGACAGTCACTTAGAGAACGTAATAGGTAATATATAGCTTCCAAGCAGATAATTCACACATTTGGTGGTCATTTCCCCCCCCCCGCCCCCCCCTCCCCGCAAAGTGTATGAAAAGAGAACATTATCACATCTTGATGTTGTGCTAATGCAATCAAAGCTAAGAAAGAATTAGACATCAAGGGTTTCCTGCACAAAGTAGCTGCTCCCAAATAGCTCATTGATTTCAGGCCTTGAAGTGAGATTGCTGCAGGGGACACCAGGTTTGTGGAGAAAGGGACTGGTATCAGTGGGACACACTGTAAATGTTGGGGGCTGGCCTCATGGATGAGTTAGGGAAGGGATGGGCCTTCCCTGGTTCGGATTTCTGGTTCTAACAGCAACTCACAGCATCATCCCCTTGGAGATCCCGTGGGCACAAGGGGGGACACTGTGCTCTCACTCCAGTGCTGAAGACTTGGATTCCTGATGCCCTCCTTGGCACGGTCAGGATTTTACCCACTGCTAGGAAACTCCAAGCTTTTAGCCATAGAAAAATACTTAACTCCTAGCATCCTCTTGTATTGATTCACTGATGTGCAGATAAATGTTAATTTAAGTCTCCTTTTCTAAAAAAGGAGCTTCCTGACAAATTGAAGTTTTAGAAGATATAGCAGAAGATGAAGGATTCTTGAGTGTTTAATGCATTTTTTTCCCTTTCCACTTATTAATGGCATCATATATTCTAAAAATGCTGCTGTATTTAGACTTACAGTAACAGATAAGGCTGTGAATATATAAACAACCTTTCCAAATGGACTCTGAATTTTTACAGTTTGACTTATCAGGTTGCATCTTCCCTTGTGAGCAAACTGGAAAATGAGATATTCCTACCTGAGGAACCTTTGCAGCGCTCACCCATTTCACTGTTAGTTTATAACAATTCTGTGCTCGTGTTTACTGTGCCCATAAATTTGTGATTAAAAAAAAAAGAATGGGGATATATATATATATATATGTATATGTATATATATATATATTTATAGTAAAATATACATAGTTTGAGGACAATATCTGTCCAAGGTACTTAAGCATATATGCCTTACGTTCTGGGTACAATTTACAGAAATGAAAAAAAAAAAATGGCCCTTTCCAGTGGATATCTTGCATCTTCAGCACCTCTTGATGTTAGAGAACTGAGGCACTCAGCACCTTGCAAAGTCTGGCCCAAATTATGCTGCATGGGCGTGGGGGGAGAGTCTTGTCCTGAGATGAAGTATATTTAAGGCAGATCAGCATATTTACCCCAGCTAATGATTTTGTCATATTCTGTGACTAGTCCATCTTCCACAGATGTCAGTTTGAGCTGAACTGGGCTCTTGTATCATAAAACCTGCTCTCCTTCTCTGCCAGGTTATTCTGCAAGACAGAGGGAGGAGGAGGTCTTGAATTACAGATTTGTCACAGACTCAAGGGAGGAATTTGCCATTTGAGTTAAAAACTAGCACCTGGTGACTGCAGCAACTGTTGGACACAGGAGCCGGCCTGGAGCTGGCTCAGGAGTGACCACTTCAGCACCCCCTGAGTGGCCCCTCCTTGCCAGGGCTTTGGCATATGTCAAGGTGATTTGAAAAAACGTTTGCAGCTTCAGCCACTCCTGTGGCCAAGGAGAGGCTTTGGTGTCCAGACCTGCCAGTTGTGAGACACTGATAAATTCCCCTGCCCCCGCCATACTCCTCTTGCTTATTGAATTTCACTCAGGCTGAAGTTCCATAGCATTTTCACCCTCTCTGTAAATAAACCAAAAAGAAATGGCATGCTCTTGCATTAAATGTGAATTGACCCATGTGTAAGAGTTAGAAAAATCCCTCACACTATGGCGTTTAGAGTTTTGCTTCAGATCAACTGCAGAAACTCACTCTTTCTTTACAACTGTACAAAAAGTCCATTTTCAGAAGTGTTCCAAACCTCCTAGGGCATTAGCAGAAAGGAAGCTACACATACTAATTTTAACAAGTGCCATATTATTTACTGGGCAGCATGATAAAAATGTTTTTTTTTTGCTTGCGTTAAATAGTTGAATACACAAGCACTATTTTCCAGTGCACAGGGAATTTATATGGAGAACTCCTGTTATTTATTACTAATGGAAATTAACTGTGTTACCTCTCTCATCCATGAGGATGGAGATGCTGTGTTGTTAGGGGAAAAGAGGAGGGTGATCATCTGAAAAGCCAGTAGGTTAAGGCTAAGGTGAACAGTTTGAATGCCTGAGCAAGGGAGAAACCAAGTCCCACTCTAAAAAGTCAGCTACCAGTATCTTTTAGTGGGACTTAGGTTCCCAAGTGCCTGAATTGCTTCTGGAAATGGTATGTTAGTTTTGAGATTGCTTGCTTTTCTAAGCCCTGGCAAGTTCGGAGGAAGTTCTTGAAGAAGAGAACTACCACTGCTAGCATTAACAATATGCAAACATATGAGGCAAGAGGGAAAAAGATCCTTTAGTGAAATAAACATCTCCTCTTGGGGCAGCAATTGCCTTGTTTTTAGTGTGGAGTATTGCATTATTTTAGTGAACTGGGATCATATGAGTATGATCAAAGAAACATCAATCTTGTGATTTTTAGTGAGTTACCTTGAAGCATATAAGTTCCTGATGTGCATTTACTTGAGTGAATTAGGCCTTAATGATACATGTAAATAACAAAACTGTATTCAGATATTTTTTCCAGAAAATAGTCTCTAATGGTCTGTACTGTATCAAAAAAAGTGTCAAAGTGTTAGTTTTGTATTACACCTCTATTTTTTGTTTGTTTGTTTGTTTGGGGGGGTTTTTTAGAACATTGAAATGTGCATGTTTGTTCTATTTGCTACAGTATTTTAATGTTTTGGATGAAGGCCATCAGTTGTATGGAGATGACAAAACAATCATTCTGTCTATTTATTCAGTATTGCTGCTTAAAGTTTTCAAAAATAAAGCTTTCAATGCCAATGTAGTGACTGATTGAAAGCTGTTCTAGCTCTCTTCAGGTGTTTTTTTTTCCTATGTTTGTAGAAAACTAAATAAGTGAAACTTGGTGTATTGAGCTATTATACCAGCAAAGAATTATTGCAATAATACTGGGGGCTGGCTGTAAGTGTGTGTAGTAAATACCAAGGTATGCATTCAGTGAATGCCTCTAGGTCTCTAAGTGGAGTGCTGAAAAATGTTAAATCCTTTGTGGTCTTGCAAGAACTTTACACGTGTGATCAAGTACTGGTTAGAGCTTTGTGCCCATGTGTGCATGTGAGGGCAGAACAAAGGGGTCACAAAGGATCAACTCGAAGCCCTTTGAACCACATTGGATTTCAGGACATTTTTGAGTGTTCCACAGATGTGTGTCTGACTGAGGCCTAAAAAACATGTTCTAATACAAAACCCTTTCAGTTGCAGCAAGGACGCCTCTATTGTAGCTGGTACCTCTGAAAATTTTAGTAGTTCTGAAATGGATCAAGTGTGCCTGCTGTACTTGTGAAGTGTGTCGGAATGCTGAGAGTGTTCACCCTCACCAACATCCCATGAAACTTCTAACTAGGGGTTCTGACTGGAACACTTGAGTTGCTGATGCTTTAACCTAGAGAAGCAACACAAACTGTGAAAACACGAGTGAGCATTTTATTACTGCTCCACTTCAATGCAAGATGAAAATCTGTATTATATGTAACTATATTTTTTTGTCATTTAAAAAGCTTCTATTTTTTATTATTCTCATGAATGGTTGACAAAAAGTATTGGATGCTCCCATACAATAAATTCCCCTCTGAAACTCTGGGTCTTTACAGTTCATGGTTTGCTGGGATTGCATTGTTCATTTCGCGCGCATCTCACAACAGAGCTGCTTGGGACTCTGTCAGAGAACACTGGGCCTGAAGGCAGGGCCAAGGCTCCTTTACTGTAAGCGTGCTGTAATCTCAATCAGATAAAACCCAGGCACTGCAAGAGGGAAGAGGAGCTTGTTTTCAGTTGAGGAACTGTTACTAAAATTAAGAATAACTCCGAAGTGACAGAATTGGTCAGTGACTCGCGGGAAGTGTAACTTAAAGCAAAGAGGCAGAGGTTCACTTGGAGGTGAACTGAATGTACAGATTCTTCCCACAACAAATGCAGGGTGCCCTGATGCTTCAGGGAGCAGAAAGAAATTAATCTTTGAACAAGGAGCAGAAGGCCTTTTAGGCCAGATTCAGGTGTAGTTACTGTGCTGAGACCAGAGAGGGTGTGAAGCTTGCTTGAGATCATTTGAGCCAATCAAGGCTGGAAACTTGATACAGTGGAAACTTGGGATTTAAGCCATCCAAATGCAGTCCTTAGTCTAATATCCCAACAAATGGATGTTCCTAAGCTAACTGGAGCCTAATCTCATTAGATGTAAGGAGAAGTGAGTTAACAGTAGTGGCACTGTTGACTGGCAATAGGACAATGCCACAAAATCCACTGAAGCCCTAGCACATGACACTGTTGTTGTCAGGGCTCTGGAAGTTGTGGAGGCCCTGTGCTCTGAAAGGTGCCCTTTCCTGCTCCTGTGTCAGTCAGCTGGCTGGCTTTTGTGGTAACTAAGGTTTCCCAGCATGCTCAGCAGAGCCAGGGCTACAGCTGATGTTTCTGATCTTTTGCTTTGCCTTTAAACAAAGTGCTGTATTTGTATGTGCTGCTGCAGCACTAACAAGCTCAGTGTAACTGGACCATGAATGAGTTGCAAAACCAGACCAGATCAATGATCCATTTTGTTCAGAAGCCATACTGAATTCTTCTGCCTGTTATGTCTGTGTCAGCTAGGTATTATTCCTTTATAACCCAAATTTTTAATGATTGTTTCAACTAAGATGTCTGGTGTCTGAAGTAGGGCACAATGAGCAATGGTGCCCATTATTGCCATACTTGAAAATTATATATTTGCTACCTTTTATATTGTAGCTAGTGTTAATGAGTATTTTCTTGGTCAGCCACTGCTTCATCATTAACTTTCTCCAGAAATACTGGATGGAGACAATCTCAGTTGGTCTACTTTGTTCCCTTTTTTCCAGGTGGATATCCTGTGTACTTTTTTCCCCCATCCTTTGCAATGAGTTCTGTGTACTATCCAGGGCTGATAGGAAAGGAGCCTCTTTGGCATTTGCTAGTGGAACTGATGCAATCAGAGGTGATAAACTTCCCTGAGCAACCTCACCGCTTGTCTGAGCAGCTCAGGCACTGCCAGTGTCCTCATGCCACTTCTGGTGGCTCTGTGTGTGCCTCCTTCCTTGCTGCCACACAGGCAGCCCTGGAGCTTCTCCCCCATGCAATCTGAAGTTTGATTTCTAGAGGCTTTTTGGATCTGTATTCATGGCTGTGGAAAGGCTACAGGGATCTCTGAAAGACAGAGAGTGCCATCACACTTCTGTTCAGACATCTGGAAGGTGATGGAGGTGAAATACCACTACACCAGACTGTGCTTGTTGTTTCAGCGACATGCTTTGTCTTGTTCTACCCCTCTGCAAAAGGAGGAAGATAGTTGGTAATTGGAAAACTTAGTAGAAAAATGCAGCATAAAAGATCTAATATTCAATCCTGGGTCAAGTTATAGGAAAGAAAAGTTTTCTGTGATTTATTTTTAATGAGCAAAAGTTTGAAGAAAAAGTAATCAGAAGAGCTCCAGCTGAGCTTGTGGAAAGTGCTTAAAAACCCACCTAATCCAATGCAACACAAATGAGTGCCAATAATTACCTGCCCAGGTATTTTTAAAAGGCTTCTGGTTAATACAGAAACAAAAAAAAAAAGGAAAACCAGGAGGTTGATGGAAGGAAGGGAGTGGGAAGTAAAACACCTTTAACCTGATTTGTATTTGCCCTGAAGTCTCTTCCAGTGCCAGTGTGATGGAAAGTGAATCATGCAGCTTTGGAGCCAGTGACATGGTATCACAGAAGTACCATCAGGAGCTATTGCTAAAATGAATTCAGGCCAGCTTTTAAGCGTGAAATAACTGGAATTTCTTTGTGGTTGCCTTTGAAGTTTCTCCTAAATTACTACCTGGCAAAACTTTTATTGTGTGTATCAAACTGCTGTTCATGAAATGTTATGTGCCCAGAACAGATGCTTTGGCTTTTGCAGTCCAAATGAGCCTGAGGTGGAACTGGCCCTCCTGGCACACTGAAGGGAAACCCCAGAGTGCCAGCTGACCTTTGACAACATTTTGTTGCTACAATGTTGTCTTAAGCATTTCCTTGACCTGGCAGATCTGCAGCGTGCCTGCCAAAACTATGACCTGGATTCTGCACTGTCATGTTGCTTGTGTCAAGCACAAAACAAGCATGGAGGAGACAGTGACAGAGCAAATGAGAAAGGCAACAATGTGTATTAGCTGTAGGGCTGAGGTGAAAGGTTATGCCAGGGGCAGGCACCAGATAGTCGGGTCTCCTCGACCGTGCCAACACTGCAGTTCCTAGCAGGCCCACACGAGAGGGCAGCAGTACGCGCAGCAGCCACACACTGATGGGAAGCAGATTTTCTAGGAATACACAGCACATGGTAAGGAATTGTGTAAGGCACTCAACACAACTTTAAAGGTGTTCTTTCAGAAAGGACACAGTAATACTTACAAAGAGACATGTCTTATTCACAGTTTCACTGTAACTGATGCACAAATGATGCCATTCCTGCAGTTTCTGAGCAGGCCTGGAAGATTTCTGAAACCTGTACAGACGTGGGTTGAAACATTCCATTTTAGATACTGTCCTGTGACTGTGCCTGTGAAGCTCTTGTTTCATTTCCTAGCTCTGCTGCAGATTTCCTGTGTGTGACCTTGGGCAAGTTACTATAATCCCTGTGGATTGGAGTCCCCCGCCTGTAAGCCTGAGATAATACTGCCTCATCCCCTTTGACTTCGTCTATATATATGGCAGGCCCTGTGGGGAACAGCATCTCGATTCCTGTTTGTTTGGCAAATAGTACTGAGCACAATGTGGTCCTGAACTTGGTTGTGCCATCCAGGTACTGCAGCGTGAGGTGTATTTTTGTATCCTACCCAGAGGGTGACAAGAAGTCATTCAGAGTTAGCTTTACCTTGCAGTGAGAGCAAGATGCAGGTGGGCTGAGGGAAGCTGGGGGTTTCTGAAGGTGAATTCTTGTTTAGCTTTAAGTAGATTTCTTTTTCTAAAGGGGTTAAAAGGAAAAGCAAGTAAAGGAGTAGAACCTCATTTCAACTTTTGCTCAACACTCTTCTTGCAAAGTGCTGCTATTACCAAAGGCAGCCTAAATCCTTTTGCAGGTGCTGCTTGGGAGTATGTTGTACCTAATCAATAGAAACAATTGACTGAACAGGCTGAGATTTGCTTGGTGGTCCTAAATGTTCCAGTGTTTCTGCAAGTCTTAGGATGTTCTAGCAATGTGCATGTAACCAGTAATGCACCATGACAGGCTGTCATCTCACAATTTTCCATTGATACCCAAGTGCCCTTTGGTATTAGTGGCTGAAGAGATAAAGCACACAAGAGTTAGAATTGTAGGAAAGTGCCTTTTCTCATAGTTTGCCAACTCCAAAGTGTTTTCTACATGGTCCAAATAAATTTAATTAACTAACAAACACCTCAGCTGCACTTACACCGGCATCTTGCTGAGAATGAGCATCCTTCAGCATGTCTGAGCACAGAGTCCTTGCTGCTCAGTTCTGAGGTCAAAGGTCATTTAAAGATGATGGCCATCTGAATGCATTTCAGTAACAATTAGTGCAGCTGCTGGCATCTGACAGAACAATAAACAATCAGTGCTGCAGTACCTTATCTCATGTCCTGCTCAATAAAGTTCTTGCTGCTACCTTTGCACATTATCCGAGGAACTTTACAGCAGGAGGCACCTACTTCTAGGAACATCTTCCTCCTTTGGTAGGAAGAATAGACTGCCCCCGGGGTGCAGTCACATGGGCCAGGCATGTAATTCAGTTGTGAGCAACTGCAAAAGCAGGAACCTGGGCAGTGTGAATA